TGCCCCAATCTCCTTTGGCAGCGCCGGCCCGATGTTTGCCCATGTGACCCACTTTGCGACCTTCACCTCCTCACCTTTGTAATCTATTCCTCGAACAGCGAAAAACGTTGTCCAATCAACTCCAACGCTCTTCAATCCAAGTTCACAAAACCGTTCGACCTCAATGTAAAGCCCCCTCATCACTTTTCTTTGCAGTTCTGAAGCCTTTGAAACGTTGCAAGGGGGTCCTCCCCAAAACGAATTCAACCCGGTGCAAACACACACCATCCACTGCCAAACCTGCTCGGACCCGGACGGCCACAAGTCCCTAAAAAGCTCAATGGAGGTGGGCAAAGGAAAAACAGCCTTACTGATTCCCCTGCCCGTGGACTGGCTGCGAAGTGGTGAAACCTCCATGAACCAACGAACTAGTAGTCCCCCGAGCTCCGAGATAGGTCGACCGACGAAACTCACACTCTCGCACTCTTTTTGCGCCGACTTCTCAAAGGCGTCAGGCGCCTTCACCTTACCCTCTTCGCTCACAAACGGCGGGGGCATCGGTGGAAAGGATCGTAGTGCCCTGTCTCCCAACAAGGTCGACATCGTAGCAGGCTGATTTACCACAGCCTTCAAGCTCCCTTCAAGCTCGACAGCACCGGTTCCCAGTGCTCCACCCAGGTCTCCAACCTGTACAGGAGTCCCGTCTCCCGGCTGCTCAATGCATCCCATCATACTCTTCCTCAAAACACTCCCGCCACCAGGAGTCCTCACTTGTTCTGCTGATCCTCCTTGGGGTGAGTCTTGCCCTTCTCCTTGCCTCCTTTTCCTTTGCCCTTGTCGCGTCCCTTGTCTTTGCCTTTGCCATCTGCTTTCCCGCTCCTCGCTCGCCCCTCGGGATAGGATGCGAGCATGCGGGTCCGTGCTTCGGTGTGGGCTGCACGTTGCGCTGAAACCAATTCCTCTTGTCCCGTCATGCTCAACAGGTCGCCCGGCCCGACTTCCAACCGTTGTGTCACTGACCAGTGACTTCCCATGAGTCCCGCTTCTACCGCCTTCATTCTCTGCAGTAAAACGTCGAGGGCCTTGGCGGGCCTTGCTTTCAACATCATGTCTGCAGCCATTGCCAGCGTCAAGAGCTCCCTGGCGGCCGGCCCTGTGGCCCGCCTTTGGAGGTGCTGCCTCATGTAGAGCATGGCCACCGGTCCCAAGGAGCCTCTCTCCTGCTCGGCTCCCGCTTCTTGCAACAGGTTGGCACGCATCTTTGTGATGGCTTGCCATGCCAACGCACCAGGAGCCCTCTGCGCTACCCGTTGTATCTTTGTTTCCCCCTCGAAGAGGGTGTCCTCCACCTCCTCGCCAAAGTCGCTGGTCTCCTTCGACGAGGAGCTTCCGCTCCCGGAACTCGTCTTGTCCTTGGTCTTGCGCTTTGCAGCTTTCTTGGCACGATGGAGAACTCTTCGTCGGACTTTTTCTCTCCTGTCCAACCCTGTCCCCGCGTACAGGTTGTCGTAGTCCTTCATGGATGCAAGACGGGGTTGCCTTCCATCCAGCTTTGCGGATCTGCTGCTGCAGGTAGAGCTCGACCTCTTCCTCTTGCTGCTCTTGGCCTTCTCGGCCTTGTCCTCTTTGTCTTTCGGGCTCGGACTGCGATGCTTCCCTTTCTTTTTCTTTTTCGAACTCCTGCCCCTGCTCCTCTTCTTCTCTTTCTTCTTTTCCTTCTTTCGGCTGGGGCTCCGATGCTTGCCCTTGTCCTCGGCGGCCTTGCCTCCTCCTTCGTCTGGATGATCTCCTCGAACAGGAGCCAAACCGGCGTCCCGAGCACGCAAGGCGCCAAGTTCGTCCATGCCTGGTTCGACTGGGTCGACTGCTTCGAGACTTCGCATCCAACCCTCTTCTCCTCCCAGCCGTGAGGGGCGCTGCATCCTCAGGCCATGCACCAAGTCCTCCGCGATGCGTTCGCCCGTGCACGTGGTCGGGCAACGGTGAATCCTGATCATGGTCCCTGGTCTCCCGCTCTGGTATTTGAGCAGGCCTTCTGATGTCGTACCCGTCACGTTGAGGTGGTAGTGAATCGCTTCCGGCTGCACATCCACCCCTTTTAAAGTGCCAGCCACTTTCATCTTGGCTCCGTAGTATGAGGCGTCGGTGAAGGCGATGAAGGAGCCGATCTCCATGTCCTCGACTCCAATCTCGTGGACTGCAACCTCGCCGCCCTCCCTCCAGAGCTCCCGAGGACCAGGAGCTCCGTCCAGGGGGCCATGAACAGGCCGTCTCAACACTCCTCTGGCGGCTGGCCTCAACCTCACTCCTCGGGCTCTGGCCTTGGCAGCGGCTTTCCCCTCTGCTCTGGCTTTTGGAGCCATTGCTATTGCAACCCTGCAAGGCGGCGTTGAATGCCGCGTTCCCGATGCTTGACTCCCTTCGAGCCTCGTCTCCTTTTCTCAGGGGCGCCTGCCTCCGAGTATGATCTCGACCTCGATGGTGGTCCTCGTCGGCCTCGAGTGTCACTGCTGTGATACCCTGGTGGGGGTTGGCTCGGCGACCTGGGTCTCCTAGGCGGAGATGGCGGCCTTGGCAAGTACTGGAAATGGTTGAAATGTTTGCTGACCGTGCCTTTCGGCGCCGGTACAAGACCAAGGGGTCCTCGCCGCTCTGGTACCTCCGGTGGAGGTGGTGGTACCTCAGGCGGTACCTCGGCTGGAACCTCCGGGGGAGGCTCTGCAACGGCTGCCTCTTCCGCCGCTGCTTCAACTGCTCCCTCCTCAGGAGCGGGGGTCACTTCCTTCTCTGCCTTCTTTTCTCTCCTTCGCCGCCTTCGGTCCTTCTGCTCAGGGCCTCGGCTTATATGCTTTCTCTTCCTCTTCTTCTTGGGCTTGGCTGACTCCTCTCCCTCTGCTTTGACCTCAGTCTCAACACCTTCTGTTGGCAGCTCTCCTACCCCGGGGGGTTGTCTGCTCGTCCTTCTTCTCGTCCTCCTCGGTCTTCACGAACTCCGCGGCCTCCTTCTCCGACTCAAGCAACCGACCAACGACAGGGGCCACGGGCTCCCCGAGAGGTCCAGCAGTCTTGGGTGCAGTAGCTGCTTCGGAGGGTCCTGATTCCTGCCGCTCTTTTTCCAGGATTGGAGCTGCCTCCTCTGCCAAGTCCGTGAGGGCTCCGACACACGACCGTAGGATCTCCAATCCACGGCTCTCTTGGGCTCTGACCAAGAACCCTCCGCAGTACAAGTCGCGGATCCTCCGTATGGCCCTGCAACCGGAACAGCTCACTGCACCTGGCTCGTGCTCAAAGGTTAAGCACAGGCGACAGCGAACCATCCAAAGTCCAGCTTGAAGAGAAACACTGCGGAATCAACGTAACATTGAAGCTTCTTATCTAACGGGGCCGTAGAATCATATATATGTGTGTGTGTAAATGATGTCTGTGAGAGGCCAAGCTCAGGGGACATACCGGGGACATATCTTTCTGCTCCACAAGAACGCATCCAAGCACCACGTCTTGATCATGTTTCTTGATTTCTGCCAAACAAATACGTCTCCATGTCGCACGTCGCGTCGTCTCGCCAATTGCACTCGTGAAACGCGCTTTTCGGCCGCCCAGCGGCCGCAAATTTTGGAGCTCCAATTCCATGAGCTCCAAGCGTTGATCCAAACCCATCCTCCAAACGGAACTGGAAACATGATGGGGAAAAATCAACCTCAGAACTGGTGAACATCCTGAACCTGGTTCGAACATACAGGCTAGTAGAAGTCGTGCAATGGTGATTCAGTGACGTCTCTTAAAACAGAACATTTACTTTGCCCTGATGCACTGAAGAGCTCTACAGCTGGACCAAGAATGACCCATGAAGGTCCATCTTTGACTGTGGGAAGCGACCCTGCCTGGAGAAGTCTACTGATTCTACCTAATGTATTCCGCTCCAGGCCATGATTTTCTCAATATCCCAGCACTTTGCCAGTGCATCCGATATCCAACGGCAAAGTAAGATATTTTGTTGGTGCTTTGCCGAGCCGCTGCTGTATTGGCATTGCCATGGTCGAGAAACGTCCTTTTGCCACCGGTTCAGAAGCGTGGCTTTATGGCAGGTTCGAGCCAAACGGGCTGAGAAGGTGCCATGCGTGATTTTGAGTCAAGAAGCATCAATTCTTTTACCCAAACACCATGATAGATTGACATCCCTGTTCGTCTGCAGGGGTCGGATTCTGACTCAAATCTATAGATCTACCAGTTGGAGAAAGTCATGCAAGCTACCGTAGAGTGGGGCACACACTTTCGTGGAACGTGGAACCCACAACCTTTCAAGAGTACTCTCCTCCTTGAGGCAGCACTCGGTTCACTGCCCGTCATCCAAAGCAAATGTTCTGAAGAAAGGCAGTTGCGATTGTTGAAGACTTGTGATCCAATGTTGGAGGTTGTGCTCTGTTCTAAGTAGATTTAACCTGTGATTCCTGATGAATATCACAAAGTGGTGATGTTTTTGAGGTTGCAGGCGTTCATCGGGCAGTGACCTGTGTTTTATCCCTGCTAAACCACCTTCACAGGTGATAACTCAGTGAGTTTGGAACAAGAACCTTAACGCACTGAACATCTGCCTGCCGGAGCTTGCTCTTAATGACATATGAGCGACGACTTTACTTAATACTAAATTTGGTTGAGGTCGCATTTCCCTATCTTGAAATGAAACTGCTCTTGGTGCTTGTCTGGATCTCGTTATTCACGTTTTCTACGGCATCGTTTGGATGCAAACAGCACAGGAGATCTCGTCTTCGTGCAGCGGGGCCACGACGTTTCTGAAAACAAAAATAGCCAGCTCCTAACTGTTCTTCATGTCGGTAAATAAATGCTGTTGCTCATATAGATACGTATGTAGATACAGATACATCATTGATACATCTAGGATGTTCGCTACGCCAAACCCATGCATCTTCATCCTAGCCCCATTCCATTCCACTCATAGCCAATGCGAGACCACTCGAAGGGTCCCATGAGTGCGTCGTTCGCGGGCCCCCCGCGTCGTTCGCCTGGTTGGGCTCGGCATCCACGCACTTGCGGATCACCTGGGGATCGGGGATCAGACGGCCCACACGGTGGGCATCACCGCGTGACCAATCTCATCCACTCAATTGGGTGAACCAACTAGGATTTCATTGGGGGAATGCAACACCCAAAGAAAAGCCCTCAAAGGCACAAACATCATTTTCTTCACCACTGTGTCACCAGCATTGACTCCATTTCCTTCCTCTCTCGTCATTTTCCTCCGTTTCCTCCGTCCCAGCGCGACCCACGCTCGACCCAGTAGGAGGTGCCGTTTTGGGACCGCGCCTCGCGTTGCTCATGGGAGGTGCCGTTCTCGAGCTCGAAGGCCAAATAGGCGCCCCAGGCCTCGGTGCCGACAGCGAGGTCGGGGGTCGGACGGGTTTGAAGGGTTTTGAAGGGTGTTATTGTTATTTTTGGTTAAGAATATACATAAATGTATGTGTAGTTATTTTTACATGAAATCTTTCAATGATCTTTCATGATTCATCGCTAATGAGTAGGTTGCCAGCTAAAGATGCTGTCCGGCGATCGAATCAGGACAAAAGTCCAAGATATGGAGAGCCGTAGTGTACACATATTCCTTCCCATTTGGGGGAAAGGCAAGAACAGTGAGCATCGTTCTTCCCGGAGAAGTCCAATCCAAACGCTCTCTATTCAATTAAGGTTGTCCAGCAATAGTTTTAAGGCTACGTATATAGTTTGTCAGCCGGTGCAGCCCAATGGGTTTGCGCAAGTAAAGTATAAAGTAATTAAAGGGCATCCCATAACTTTTGATGTGGGCAGTTGGCACCTAATTGGGGAAGAACAGGAGCAATCGAAATGGCACCCTACTATCAACTATCTTCAGAAGCAACTGTCAAACTTGCCACTGGTGATCCAAGGCACATCGCCCAAACGAGGGTTGAGGGTCACTGCGCGGTTGAACCTCGGGCTGGCAGCAAACGCCCCAAAGCGGTTTGGGACGTCAAATTGATCTCCATTAACAAGGAAGGGACCCAATTGTGGGGAAGCATCATCGATCTTCAAAAGGCGGTGCCTTGCATCAAACACCTCTGGCACCTGGGGAAGTTGTCTAAAATAAAAACCGTCCATGGTAAACATGACCTTTTTGTACCAATAGGTGGGACCTGTTGGATCCAATTCCGTCATGAAACGGACGTGCGCACCAGGACGCGTGAGGAGAAGGAACGAACGCACGTGCGGTGATACGACTCAAACGAAGCTGACCCCATTTCCCAACCAGGCAGACTCCTGACCATTCAACAGACCTTCTAAGACCATTCAACAGGTGTTTCAGTGCTCCAGTTTTCTGTGCAAACAACAACACATGCACAAAAATTGGTGGTTCCGAGATTAACATGATCAAAACCTCATCTTTCCGCACGGAAAAAGTGCCGCAGCCCGCTGACATATATGCACAGTGCCAGTACCTTTACCATAACATTGGATGATGATTCCAGGATTGCGTTTTGATTTTTGCCACTGTAATTGCTAGACAGGACACACAACTGGTCACCAAACCTACAGGACCCAAATGGATCAAACACATCCAAACCCGCGGCCGCAACCAGCTCCCCACCTCTGTGGTGCCCGGGCCATTTGCGTGCCTTGGCGTTCTTTCCATCGCGCCAGAAGAGCTTGGCCTGGCAAACAACTACTTCGTTTCCAACACAGAGCTATTTCGCCTACAGCTTGGGGTCCCAGTTAAGGTAACCTAAAGGTTGAGTGCATGCCCCCCCAGTGAGGTCAGGAACCTCAACTGTGGAATTTACTGCTTTCCAAGTTTCAGAGTTGACCATTCAACCTGAAACACCCAAACATACGCAAACCAGAGCAACTCAAACGGTTGTCGGCCTCGATTCTAACTCCCACAAAGATGTTTCCAACTTTTGGTCTTGATGCAATAGATGGTGAAAACCCATATAGCATGTTGCAAAATATAATGTTTTCTGGCGACAAACTGACTCATTGGATCTGGTGCAACCCAAAGAAACTCTGTAACTCTGTATGTTTTGAAACACATTTGTTGGGACTTGCCCCGGCCACAGCAATGATCAGGTTGCCCGGGCCACAGCAATGATCACGTGGGCGTCGTTCTCACACTTCTTCAAGGCATCCACACCTAAAAATGGCTCAGGGATGTTCAGCGCACTTGGTGTGACTCATCAATTGAAGGTGAAAAAACCTTAGAGTGGGACATCGCAGGAGTTCGGATGAAATGGGTCCTATATGGGTTGTTTGTCTATATCTATGCTGGCAAGTTAATTGATAAATAGTCTATATCTATGAACTAATAACTTGAAACGTTTTCATTGATTTCATATTTTTTTTTCCGCAGATTTCTTTTGTCGTATTTGTTTTTGTGGTTTTGCAAGACCCGTTAGTGGATGCAGTAACGTGTATTTTCGACAGGTTTCCACCAAACCACTGTGGTCCATTTGGATTCTCCGTCCAAACTTGCGCTGAAACAAAAGTGGATTGCGAATATACCGTATACAAATTTGCAATTTCCTGAAAGGCGGCGGCCGACATTCGCGTTTGTTATTACTATATATATATATATATATATGTGTGTAAGGCGGATAATGGGGCCAACATCCGCGTAGACCCTGTCTCACAGGGAGTGGCCGATATCGGGCCAACATTACAAACGACCAGATTCCATATGTTTATATGTATGTATACATTATACACGATTTAGTGGAGAATCCAGATGCCCCTTCGCTTTCGAGATTTTCACTCCTATCTCTGCAGACATGGTGTACGCGCCCACGCTCTGAACCAAAATCTGCTAATATGCGTCGCACTAACCAATCTTCTACGTAAAACATGCCTACTAACTAGTTGTAACTTCCAAACAAGTAGTTGTAACTAGTTCATCTCTAAGGCATCATATACTCTACAAATAAGATGCGCACAAATATGAAATACTGATATCAAACTTTTCAAGAGCAAGTAACTTTAAGTAAAAGAAAAGCATAACATAGTTACAACTACTTAGCCTGACTTATTGAATTACAAGTTAAGTTATTGAAGAACAACTTAACCTGTAGTTCGTTAGCTAAAGCTATAAGCAATCTAACTAAAACAGCCCTTACAGTAATCATTTTGTTCCACCTTAGGATAACCACTTCCGCGACCAAACCTTTGGACCTATGGAGACATCAATGACATGGGTGTGCCCTATCAAGTGTTTGGTCGGCTGGGACTTGAGACCTACCAGGGACGGCTCTAAATTCGCCATGACTCACCTATACCCAAGTGGGGCGAATTTAGCGCACTCTTAAGGTGTGAGCACGATGACAGGCTTACGCTCCTTAAACAGTAGGATGAAGTAGGTGTGGTAAGGTGTCAAGCGCGGGGAACATCACAAGTAAGCTGCCTGATCTGACTCACACCCAAGCTGGTCGCAACCCATGTCCAAACGATACTTTCACGGTTGTCGCCAAACAGCCAGTTTACAAATTTAGATTAATTGAACAGCCGTGAGCAACCCTGTCCGTGGTTTAACGAGGATTCCCGACAACAGCCATGGTCACAGGACGAACGCAGCACACTCTTTTAAACCTGCGGTCGTGCTTTGACGACAATTGCGTCGCTACAGCACTAAAGGTCCGCATTGGCTTCGTATGCTGCTCTGGCCTGTGCAACCTGATCACAATCTGTTGGTGCCTGCGTGAAGTTGGGACTGCAACTGGACCTATAGGTCCTTCCTTATGCAACACCATTTGCACTTCAACCCTGTCATTCTTGTTGGCGATGAGCAAGGCGGCTGCGGCGAGCAAAGCTGTGCTCCCAGTTGCGTTTGTAGCGGCAGCCTCGGGCAGCAACTGCACTACTTCCAAGCGGCCCGGCCCTTGTCAGACGCAGCAAGCAGAGCATAGTCTCTTCCACTACCATCCTTTGTTGCATCGTTGTCATTGGGCGGTTGATCAATATTCTTTCATCCTGGAATGGCCATGCTTCGCGGAAAAAAGAGATATCTTTCGCGGATCTTTCATGGCCTCATCGCGAAGCATGGTCCTACAACCAAGTCTAGCTAACACGAGCCAGGACTATTCATAGTGTCATAAAAAAAAAGGGACAAACATCTTGCAGCGTTTCCCCAGCAGAAGGTTGAGAGTTTCCACAGCTATACTCAGGGTCACTTGCAGCATCTGTGCGACAACTGTGCAAATATAATCAAGCACAACTCAACCCAATCCTCGTGCCAGCTACCAAACAGGGTGACGCAGCTTAGGGAATGCTGGGGGGGCCTCCACTGTAGCGGCGCATTCGCGAAGCTCGGAGAATCCTTTACGCACTGCCAGGGCTGGGCACCGAAATGTTGAGGCTTCAGTTCAATGATGATGGGCCAATGGGGACATGCGGGGACACTTCCGCCCACCGGCTCTGCCGGAGGATTTCCTTGTATTTCTTTGTTGGTCGGTAAAAGGAAAACATATGAAAGCGATGACCTTCGATAAACCTTTCGCGGAAAATACTTTCACGCACCTCTTAGCGAATCTTTCGCGGATGGTTTTAACAACATCTGAAAAGCTGTTTTATATAAAACTCCTTACATGGGGTTTTAGATTGGCCAAGAACCTAAAGCCATCCCAAGCCCTGGCAAGTCAATCTGTTCTCCGGCGGTGGGTTCGGTAGGCTTGGGATGCTTTGGTTCATCCACAACACATCTTTTGTTTGTTCACAGTGAGATTTAGAGTCTAGAGTTTTCTCTTCCATGATTTTCTTTCAGACAAATGTCAGCATATTGTGGCCTCAAAATATCGCTGACACACAGCTGCCACATGACCCACCCTGTACTGCCGCAGGCCGCGACGCATACCGCCGCCACATTTTCTCCTCATGAACTCACCCTTCACTGCCACGTTGCAGCGCTGGAGTTCCTCTGCTTTGCTTTCCTGACTTGTATTCATCTACCGTTGTGCTTTGACAAAACATATGCGCATGTATGATTGAGCCATCAAACATGCAAAAACCTACCAAATATGCGACTATCACATGCTACCATCAGGTATAATAAGGCTAGCGGCGCTAGCAACCTCGACTGTGTATCAAGCTTCAGAAAGTTTAAGTACGTATTTTTGGAAATTTGGAGGCGTGCTATCGTTGTCATGGTCATAGTTGCTCACGAGGGCGCGTCATCTTCCGAATCGCATAACTTACCAGCGCAAAAGCTATTGGACTGTACTAATCATTGCCCATCCGCTCGCGCTCAGAACTTCAACAGAACATTTCATTGATGTACAGGGTACTTCTGAAACTCCGCCGCTGGCACACCCTCCATGCCTGCAAGCGGGGTGACTTAGTTCGGAGAGGGTGGGCAACAAATAAATGATCGACTGAGAGGGTTGACCAAAAGGTTGCTCGGTTTGTTGCATTCCTTTTTTGCAACCACACCTTGAACTGTTGCGGACAGAGGTTGGCGTATACCGAAATTGACACACTGGCTTGGCATTCGATGCCTTGCTTCATTTTGCCTTTGCATTTGAGAAGCAGTGCGCGCAAAGCTGAAAGTCGACTTGGAACAGTGCACACAAAATCCGACGAAGGCTCAGAAATTGCTCCATAGAACTCTTCAAACTTCCCACAGACTCTGCCGTTCAAAGCCTCAGCAAAGAGCTTCTCGATGCAAGAGCCACTGAATCCTCTCTCCTTTTGGAGAGGACCTGTATCTCTGCAGCGGCTTGCTCTATCAGGGCCAACAAGTGTGGCACTGGCCTCCAGGGAGCAATCACCATAGAACTCTTCAATCCTTTTGCATTCATCTCCATATTGGTCTTTGAGCTTGCGCTCAGAGATGCCTTTCTTGATGCCAGCTAACAGCCTGATATTCTGCAAACATCCAACAAATAATCCGTCTGTGAAAGCAGCTCACTTGAAGCAGACTTGGTCTTTATCTGTCACAGTTGTCAGCTTAAGGCTGGATACGAAAGTCAACAACAACATTGACAAAGTGTTCGTAGACAAGCAGCCAGGAATCGCTGGAATGCCACCACTCGTTCAATCTTCAGCTTGGGTGTCTTGATTTCATCTGTCTTCATGAAGAATACATCGCAGAAGGTTGTGATGCAATAGCCTTTCGGCCACTCATCAGTCTTGGGACTGAAGCTCATTTAAGCTCACATCCATACCATGCCTGAGAGCAAATTGCGCAAAGGCTTCAGTTGCTGTGAGATTGCAGCACTTGCCAATCTAGCGAAGGAGTCGAAGATGCCCTGGCAGCTCACGTCGCCAAACGCATCCCTCAGGAACTGAAAGCAACTTTGCTTCCCCTTCGCCTCATTCCTCTTGGTCTCTTCCTCTTTTGTCGCGTGAAGCCATTGTAGAAACTTGCGAGGAGCAGAACTCCAAAGAAGACCCAATGGCCCAATGATTCTTGAGTGCCCGTGGAAGACCGTGGAAGCAGCTGTCTTCCAAGCCAAGAATTTCTTCAGCGATTGGTTGCTATAAATTTCTACATTATTCAGATACTATCTAGTCTGCTTTGGTTATTGTATTGATTCTTCTCATTCTTTCCTTTGTATCAGCAATCGTCAGTCAGTGTAGTTCGCGACCTCCACGTAGGCTGAAAATCAATTTCAGATTGTTCTACTTTCTACATACCTTCCTTCTAATTCTAGATTCCTGCCAGCGTAAAATACTAAGTCATTTTCAGGCTTCATCCACTCACATGCAACGCTGCAAGTCTGAAATGCTTGGTCATGCACTCAAGTTGATCTTGAAGGGCATGTCCACATTCTGCTCAAGACACCCATTAAGATCAAAGCTGACAAGAAGGCGCAGGTTCAAATCCGCCAGCTTTCTTAGCTGAGAGGCCTTCATTGCAACCGTGTCAAAGTCTCCAACAACAAAAAGATCTTCCATGCCACCGGTCGCCTTTGGTTACGAGCTTGCGATGAGCAAGGTTCACCAGGCCTTCGGTAAACAATCCTCCTTTCTTGGTCCTCTTGATTTTCACAGCATGGCTTGTGGACTTTCGCACTAAGCTACTGAGCAAAGAACAAGTTTCTGCTTTGCTTGATGAAGCTTGATGCAACTGCATGGCCAGCTTCCATGCCCCCCCGCTCAGATAAAAAGGTCTTCTTTGCATTTTGTCGAGCAAGCCCAAGAGTTTTCACAAGAGGTTGGGAACATGATTTCATGGAAGGCTGAGCCAATTGAACTGGCAGCAACGCAACACCGGAATCTCCACCATCATCATGTCTTTCATGGCTAGGCATCTCCTGATCCATGCCCACAGGTTTCTCGAGGTAGGTAGTCAGGGATTGATGCTGCATCTGCATATCCAAAAAGTCCATTGCGACACCCAGGGTTCATCTGTGCCCTATAGAGTTCCAAAAATGCAGCATGAGTGACAATTTTCAGGGTGTAAAATGCGTCAACAGGCCAATACTATTCAAGATTATGATTCAATGCTAGTATAGCAACAAAACAATGACGAGTATACTAAGTATACATGAATGTAACTGTACCACTGCCAGTGCCAGTATACAATAGGCTGGTGTATCTATCAGGTTTGTTGTTTCAATAGATTGTGTGTCTGTCAGATTTGTTGTTTCATGCCAACCTTGGATTTGCTTGAGGAGCCCGGAAAACTATTCGTTAGAAGAGGAATTACGCATAGGGAACAAGTAAAACCACCTCAAGCACAGCCAGGCAATATAAATACTATATCTCCTTGGAACTTTGCTTTCAACAAACAAGCATTGAATTCTGCAGTGAGCAGCCTTACACCCGGGACAGCGCAGCGCAAAGAGCTGACATGACCAAAAATCTACAGTGTTTTCAAGGAGTTAGAAAGACCTGGAACATACCCTCATTGGAACATCCGGCTAGAGACACACCAGCTCAAAACGTGGCAAGAAAGCTTTCGGGTTGAGCAGGCTTTACTTTGTGTATTTGTATCCAGTTGCTCGGGTCAAAGTGTGGCAGTTGCTCAGGCTCATGTGCGGCAGGTGTTCGGTTGATCCAGGTTCATTTGTGGCAGTTGTTCAGGTTCATGTGTGGCAGGTGCTCTTTTCATCAAGGTTCATATGTCATGTGGCAGGTTGTCTGCTTTCTGTGATGTGGGAAGCGCAGATTCTGACATGTTTTTCAAAGACAGGGGGGGTCGTTATCATGATAGAGAAACATCCCAACATTGAGATGTTAATGGACCCTCACTTGCCTGATTCAGAGTTGGTTTTCTGCTCGGACATCTTGGGCTTGAAGGGAATCAATCTCCATAACAGCATCCAAAACCTCGGGAGTTGACTTTGACAAGGGGACTCCAATATGGTGGCATGCACCTCTTATCCAGCTGCCCATGTCTTGGAAAAACCACGCTCCAACTCTACCAATCCACTGACGGGTAGTCACCCCAATTGGAATCCACCGGCCGGCACCTCCGACCGCCGGGCGCCGGGCTCTTGGCGTTTTGCCCCTGCTTCGGCTCCAGCTCGATGGCCTGCGTTCTGGTCAAGTCCAACCCGTCGTTCTCCACGGCTCGGACATGGATCGACTTGGAGAGATACGAGAACAATGCGAAAATTCTGGGAAAAAAGGGAACCCATTCGGGTGAATATTCTTTCAGGGCAATAGTTAGTCTTTCATAGTTGGTCTATTCATGGTTCAGGTGTTTTCCTTGGGAATCAGGGGGTTCTGACCCATATATTATATGCCTATGTCATGGTCGAGAATCGTGGATTCAATCGATCAACACTGAATCCTAGACTTAGGGGTGGGCCATTGCAATCAAATGATCATATACTATATTGTATGTAATCACATGTAATCACCATTGAAGACGAGTTTCTCTCAACATCAAAAACCTATCTTTGTCCCAATGAGTGATCAACTTCCTTCCTTCCTTGCATTGAGGGGTGACTTGGAGACAAACGGATAAACGTGAAGGGAAACGGTCAACAATCCTAGTAATCCTAGGCACTACACATGTGTATATAACGAATTATTCCATCCATTTTCCCCTTCAATCCGGGTCTTGACAATCGGTGAACACGACCCCCATGCTTCGTGAACGTCTGCTTTGAAGATGACGGTGGTTGCATCGGCCAAATCTCCGAAGCCTCTCGTTCCCAGCCTTTGCCCATAGAATGCCGCTGGTGGGGCACTCCTGAGCTCCCGCGCCGAGCTCCGGAGCTCCGGGAGTGACGGCAAAAACCGGAGTTCAGGTTACGACCAAAAACTGCTGAGAAGTAGTTGAGTAGTTGGTAGTGCTTGATATGAGGTGTCTCAAAGAGGCCCTCGAAACACCTGTAGTAGGAGGGAAACCATGCTGACACCTGAAGATTTGTTGTGACAATTGCAAAAATTTGGCCGACTGGAAGTGAATAGGAGGAGCCTCTTGTCTGTCAGGACACTCAGTGAACCAACCGGCGTGGTGTTGCTGGGCTTCCAAAAGAAGGCTCACCACATCTCACCACTGCATCAACCGAAGACACCATACAACACACAACAACCAACGGTTTCAATCTTATACTTGTTGTAAAGACAACATAATACCGTGGCCAAGGGATCCGTTTCAATCTGTTCTTCGGATCCCTCCGATCCCCTCCGATCCGTCAGATCCGTCGGATCCTGCAAGGCCTTGCTCATGAGATGGTGCGACAAGCGCTCGCTACCATCCAACAACTCCACCTGATCAAGCCGAGGGCCGCACGTGATGGATGCGGAAGGATCGCACGTGAGAAAAAGAAGACCGTCTTTGCATGTCTATAGTTTATACATGTCCATCATGCGGGATATTCGCCTTTGTGGGTGCATCTCCAGCGATGTATATCATTCTTGAAAGAGTGGATGTGGAAATCCATCGCTGAAATCAGGCTCGCTCAGCAACGTCGCCACACGTCGCCGGTGCCTCGACGCCTTTGAGCCACAAGAGGTCGGCGCCTCGAGAAGAGCGCGCGGAGATGAGTATAGATGAGGGGTGGTACGTGATCGTACGTGATCCACCAAAAAGCGTTCCATTTTATAGAACAACATGTCGGAGAAGCATGTGGGCACCAAACGGATCGCACATGCTTAAGTGAGTAGTTGCAAGGGAGCAATCACGTGGCACATGGGGGCAGTTTGATCATGAGACTGAGATTTGAGTTCAAGACATTTTAAGACCAATCTTCTGAAAGCGAAAGTCACATATCCAGCTGCATCCGTAATGCTTCAGGTGATCTACGTTTAAAGCCACTAGGAGAATAACCCGATCCGCGCGTTGGGTCGTCCTCCTCCTTCTGTCGTCTGTCGCCACCCGCCCCTGCCTGGGTTGCGCAGCCGGGCCTTCTCCAACAAGGAGCGTGCCTGCAAGCCATTCCGGGACCCAGCCATGACCCGGCCTTGGAACCCGCAATCAACCAGGAAATTTGTCGGAACATACCGTACTGACCACTGACCTCCACCGGGTTCGGACTTTCTTTGGAGAGCAAATCAACCATACTCAACCAACCAAAACATGCTATCATAGACAGTCAACGGAGCTACACGGAAAGATCCCGTGTCCTATTCCATGAGGCGGAGTACTCTTTTTCTGAACGGAACATGAACCTCCAGGGCCAGGTGGGTTTCTTCGAATGGGAAGGTCCTCTTTTCAGGCTGGTGAACGAGGTAGGTCCATAAGTTACCCGGGTTTTGGTGCCCCAGTTTAGCAACCGCTTGGCGTGAAAAGGGAATGTTGATGTTTGGAAGAACATGGAAGAACTTTTTGCCACCTCTCGGCCATCCCTCCCGAGGAGTGAGTAGCAGTGTAGCAGTGGCGCATACGCAACGTCGATTCCGAAGACACACAGGACTCAATGTCTTTCCCGAATATCACATTGTGGAGAAAGTTTACAATTTTGGGTGAAACAGAAAGATAGAGAGAGAGAGAGACGTCCTTTTGATAGACAGTCCTTTGTTACTAGATGGTCTAGTGGATGATGCTTTACACTTTTGAAAAATGGACATAGACGGGCTACCTCAAGATAAGGAACACCAAAAAAAGAGACCGAACATGACCGAGCTATAGATTCGACCATGCTGAAACACCTTTTCATAGGACACACCTGCACTGACCAAAGAACCGGGCAACGGAGTGAAACCTTGGTGTACTTCTGCTGCTTGATCCTTAGGGCGGTGAGAACGTTCGGTCGTTACCGCAAGTTACAGACTATTGTGGGAAAGGGATGTATTCAACGCCATATTCCAAGATCTTCTGCTCAAACAACTGAAATCTGCTTTTTGTATTCAACAAGTAAGTTCAAAGTCACTTGATCCAAATGCGAACAGTCAACCCCAGCACCAGTAAAACCTAAGAACCACCATCTACAAAGATCAAACCGATTCGAGCTCCTGCAGTACAAAGGATTCTGGTCGATATCCTCTGGCAACAAAAGCAAACCATGGAAAGGAGTCGATTCAGTGGGATTTCATCTCTTTTATCTATTCCTGGACCAGGAGATGTGTATCGTGCATTTTTTTGGTCATCCTAAATAGATACGAAACATGAAACATGTGACAGAAAACAATCCCAAGGACATACTCTTTCCAGAATGGCTTCGCATAGGAATATCTATGAAGTGTGGAAAAAAGAACATGCTACTCTGAGATGCATCTGAGATCTGCAAAATCAGCTGGGCCGCCCACTCACATTCCACGGCGCACAGCCACAGAGGCACGCTCCCTTGGATCAACAGAATTCATCCGACTGTCCTCCTCAAGTAGGTATAAGGTGCAGAAGTCGAAACAATTGATTATGTAACTATTGTGCAAATTCTCCGTTGCTGTTCTAAATGTTCAATGGTCTACAAACAGCAGCAGGATAGCTGTAGCTTGTAGGGTTGCAGCTATGAAGGAACAGAGTTTTGGATGCATGAGCATCAGGTGCTCGACAAGCGAGCTTTGCGCAAGGTTACGCCGCAATGCTCAGGCTTTGCGAAAAAACAAAAAAGGAAAACCAGGCTCACCAATCATTAGTTACTAGTAAAAACGAAAACAGCCTATCAGGGGTACTCCAACATGTGAAACCACACCTATCATGTTGGTATCTTGAGGGTACTCCAATCATGAAAACAACATAAAACAACCTTCCAGGGGTCTCTTAGCTTGGGTGCACCCGTTGGGCCGACGGGTTGGTCAAACCGATGGCGGCCGGTCTGAGGCAATGGCTGGGGCACTTCTGAAGACCGCGCTCGAAGAACTTCGTAGCCTTCAAGACAAATCAAATGCGATGAAGCATAACCTTGTATACTGCTGGCAACAGCTTTATCCACCGATCCAAAAAATTGTTCAAGTAAGTGATCTGAGCACAGCTCTGAACCAACCAAATTTCTCAAAATTTGTCAAGCAACCTGAATTCCTGAAGAGGCAGCACGAGAACTTCGCCATTATATTTCAGCCAACAGATTTCCTGAAGATGTTCCATGGGCCCAGAGTGTGTTTGTTTCTCACTAAACAGGGTGCTGTCACTCCATCGGTAACAGAAGACCAGATTGATGACGCAAAAGTCAGTTTGGGAGTGAACAGTTGATTGCCAATTCCACAAAACTAGAAACAAGTGTTCAATCTCTGCATCCCTGAATTCCCATCAGTCCCTGCAACTTCCTGACTTCAAAGTAGGGTTTCTCCAGAAGCATCGTTCGGGATTTCAGTGTAACACCGGCAGGTCAATCACATGTTACCAATACGGGATGGCAGAAAGTTCCGAATCATAACCTGGTCAAAGGATGTCAAAGGTTTGGAATCCTGTTCTTCCACAGTGTGGTTTCTCCTGTTCTTTCCGGGTCTAAACACTCCATGGTCAACCTCCCGCCTCCGCCAGCTCTGGTGGTGACCTGGGTGGCACGACCCGAGACGAGACCTCAACCCTTTCGACCTGACCGTTTGGCCGCTGGGACCGCTGGGACTCCAAAAAATCAGGGTGACTCAGGCTCGAAGAGTGTATCTCTTGTTGGACATGTTCCAGCTCGTTTGAACATGTTTGAAAGGTTCGAAGGTGAACTGTCCACGTATCGAAACATCGATCCATGGGCTGGTGGTAGTAGGATCGATGTTTCGCAGTGCACTGCTTTGGCGCAGGAGGTCGAGTTCAAGCAGTTCATCTCCGTCTCCACAGTCCTTGCCTGGACACCCTCCGAGAAGTACGCCGTCGGAGGTGACATCGCTACCCTAATACACTGCATAATCAAAACACTCCACAGATTGGCATTGTATACCTACATGGAGACCTGAAACCACCTTATGTAGATAAATGATACATGATTCTATATAAATACGTCATACTTGAAAGGCCCGAGCTTTATGATGTAATGTTGCTCCATATAAAAAAAGTTCCATTCCACAATTCCACCCATCTCCGACTCCTGCCAACTCCTGGACTCCAGGCTTTTCCATGTGGATCTGCCCACCAATCATCCACATCTTTGCGAAGGAAGGGTGCTCCTGAAGGAACAAGGTTGGTTTTAACACTTCGTTCCTCTTGCACTCGCAGAAGGGAATCTCACACTCAAATAATGTCCACGGAATAGTTTGGACCACAGTAAGGGCTGCAAAGTATACAAATAGCAAGTGTTTCGGCTACCAGTGAACCTTGTGGGAATCTAACCGAACCTCATACGGTTTGTCCCCGCAACCTGCAACACTCCTTGGGACAGATAGATCCAAACCCCAAACGGGCGACAACCAGCGAGTGTCGTTCCGCAACCGAAGGCCACAAGACGGTGGAGGGCACATGTGTGGATCATGTGGGTTCAAACCTTGAGAAAGGCCTCAGGCCGCCTGAGGCCTCATCTTTACATAGTTTGTTGGATCAGTGTCGTAATCACATATTCTCAATGAAGAAACACTGCAACTAATTTGTCCTTACTACTTACATGTTTGACATGTAATAGATCCCTCTGCCCTGAAAACCTCACATGACTCTTGCTCCTTGAGACCCTCCTCTGACAAGTGCAAGGCTTGCTGGTACAAACCTGGCGGAACCAAGGCGGCTCTTCATTCAGTGATCCAGGTTATACTTTAGTATTACAGTCATATATGTCATTATACTTTATACATCTTTATACGATCATTTAGCATTGTACCATATGGTTGCAGTATAGTACCTTGTATATGTACCATTACAGTAATTAGCTGCTCCCACACCCGGCAACAATGACCCTTTTCATCCTATTGTTCCACAGCTTGCAGAACGCAGTCCCACAATGGACACAGCGATAACAATGATCACAAGCGAGGGGACTGTCAAAACAGCACAACAAAAGCACACAAGTTGTCGACCCATGAAGAGTGCACTCTAGTGTTTCCTTTGAAACGACCCTCTTTGTTCAGTGTCATTTTTTGGTCAGGCCGTCAGGCCCATGTACCAGCTGCAAATAACGAATTGGAGCTGAAGCCATGCTCGCCATGCTCGATGGGCTGACCAGCGGACCTCACTGCGGTCGTGTTTCACAGCAAGTGATAATCACTTTCCTGAGCCCTCGTAGCAGCCCCCGTTCATCATCATGAGCTGCCCACAATCGCCCACATTGCATTTGCAATCATACTCATGGTCCGTTGCTGCACCAGTGATGCCTTTTCCAGCCTCCCTTCTATGGCCACAGCGTCCGGCATTGAATCTTTATGTGCTGAGGACGTGATACCCAAAGCCATCAACTCGCCTTGCGATCCTGGCCTTCTTGTCGCGGAGCTCTACAAATTCAGTCCGCTTGAAAACCCTGTTCAGCGCTGTAGGTTGCAGCAGTTTGACGCACACCTAGCGAAATTTGCACAACCTTTAGACATTCTCAGAGCTCAAGATCAAAGTCTATGCCATCCGCAGAGTCCTATTGCCTAAACGGAGCTGCCTGTCCGCTGAAGGGGACCAGTCCCAATGGCTGTTGTCAAAGTGTTCAGTTCGTAGCAATGCTCACCACTTGCGCCAGTTGGTCAGCCAACACGCCATCAAGTGATCAGGAGTCTGGGCGCCCTGCTCTTCCACTACACAACGCAAACTACCATAAAATGTATCATCATCTCCTTCCAGACTGCCTTTCAAATCTTTCAGCATTCGTGCCGTGCCATGACACCGACCCTCCAAGCGAGGGGAGTTTTCAGTCCACATGCTGATTGGGTCTGCTGGGGTGGATGACTGGCAGATTGGTGTCCAGATTTCCTCGTTGGGTGGGGCCAATGGGCGCAATGGGACTGGTGGGTGTCAAGGAGATAGCAGGTTTTGCTGCCAAAGGGTCCCAACTGCCTGGCATGCGGTGGTGCGCCAAGCCCCAGTGGGTGTGGCACATTCATCATGGGAGTGGACATTGTGCACATAGTTCTATGGTAACCAATAAACACTAAAAGCTTGATACCAGCATGCCGAATGGAATTGGCATGAATTGGCAAACACAAGGCTTTATGAGTGGCAGAAGTGAACTACAGTTCCAGTAAGGTAATCAATCTAGATTTTCAGACACAGGGCCAATGGGGCCACTGGTTGATTATTGCATCAAAAGCACAAAGGGTCTCTTCGCAGGACGCACCTTGCTCCCTCTCCAGCTGAACTGACTGCATCCAGACCTGATCCAAATGAAACGGTTTGACCGTCGGGTGTGTTGAAGTGTATGTAGGCCTGAAATCCTGAGTGAAACAATTGGTGTTTTCTTTTCTTTTCACCCGACCTTTTGGGCATGCCACTGCAACGAGGACCCACTGATTCTGGAGTGTCTGCTCCTCTCAAAATGACACATATTGTCAACAAGCAGTCTAAAACTCCTCCCCTGTACAGTAGCTTGATCCTAATCGAGGATGTGCTATTGCTCCGCATGCCATATGCTATAGTTGGCTGCCCGCCTGCTGGTTGGCAAGGTCAATGCAGTTCACGACCATCGACCCGCTGACAAACATCTAGATCCGTCTTCGGAAACCAAACGATGTTGGACACCAACAAATTGCTCAATACATCTCAATACACACGCTTGATACTTTAGAACAGTTGCAACTCTCAGGATAGCATGTTTAAGGTTCCCTCTCGGTACCACATATATCTGCGAGAAATGTGATGAATCTGACAGGGACCCTGTGGAGTCGGCAGTATAAGGCAATATTTATAGTTTTAATCATTCACCAAAAATGAAGAGAATAGCATAGTCTCAGTCCAAAGATCTCCCATTCACCATTGGTCCTATCTTTTGGTCTTAGGATTGACAGCTGCTTCATGCAAAAACCCTACGTGTTCGCCAGTGTCCGTCACAATTCAAGCGTCCATCCCCACTTAGAGCATCCCTCCTCGATTGGTCTCCTCCCAAGCATCGCACCCAGTGGCCTTGGGCGTGTTACACTGCTGACGGGCCTCAGTCGTTTCAAGCTGCGTTAGCTAAGAGGCTCCCTCGGTTGCAACCCAAGAGGCAGCGCATTGCAGGGCTGCGGAAAGGCCTTTATTAGTGTCCAGACTCCATTCCAAGTCCAACAAAAGATTCAACAAACCTCCAAATCCGCAGCACGGAGCTGCTGAGTAGCTTCAGGAGAAAGAGTAAGGATGAGTAGGGTGTCAGGAGACAACTGGACACCTTGTGCACAACATCGATTCCTCAAACAGAGTGTATAACAACACTATGAGCGTTTCCCACCAAATCACTTGGATGCTGACATATGACATATCATGAAATATACAATACCCTGAAAGAACACCCAATCAGGAACTCAAGGAGTCTGCAAACAGAGTGTTCATACCATCTCTTTGGCCCATCTATCTTCCACTTCCTATTCACCGGCTGCATCCCGACACTGGGCCATCCAGCTCGAGCCAGCAGCAGACGGCTTCGCTGAATCTCGTTGTTTTCACTCTCCAGCTTCACCTGGATTGGTGTGTCCCTTCGGGTTTCGTTGGGTGAACCCCTGTTTCGTCGGGGTCACGCGAAAGATCGTGTTGGATGTCGAAAGACAATGGAAAAAAAAAAAACACACATGAACAGCAAATGATGAATGGACATGATTTTGCTGGCAAAAGGTGGTGGGGCCGCTTCGACCAATCTCACAGCTCTCGTTTCTTTAATCTTTTGATCACCCAACTCCACACTGACCTTCCCTCACCCACCTCCCCTTCGCATCCGAAACAAAAATACAAAGCCCCCCCGGCGGCGGCCAAGTGAATCGCTTCTGACTCTTTGGAGTGACTGAAGGCTTCGGCCAGGATCCTCCAAAAAGCTCGCACGGTATGGTCCGGTGAAACCGGGTGAAACGATGAGGGAAGTGCACCCGACCCACTGGGAAGTCCGAACATGCCAAGAAATAGCAAACAAGAATATATGAATATGAAGAACGGCCAGATTGCCGGTTCTGGCTTGTGCCATTCATTTAGGGCCACAGGAATATGCAAATGGCAATATATATATTTACAATATGTGTATCTTCATTGCCTTATATATGATAAGGGACGACAGTATTTTGATGTGGTAATTTGGGTGTCCCAAAGCAAACAATTCCATCACCAGCGGCCCCTCAAAAAGCATTAGAGTAGTTGTGCTGAAAAACAAACATCCGAAAGCTTTCCAACTAGTAGTAACAAGAAGCTATTAAGAACAAGTGCATCGCTACTAGTAACAAGTGCCTTACTAGTAGTAACAAGAAGCTATATTAGAATCTTCACATCAACCACAAAAAGGCCGCCTTCTTCAGAAACCGCACCTCTGTGAAGCGGAGTCCAAGCGCGCCAACACCCTTTCGACCGACTCGGAGCCACCTTCGCGCCGAAGCCACATCTCCACGGAGCCACTTCTGCTTGGCCGCCTTGGATGGCAAGATGGTCAAAGTATTTCGAGGTGGTTGAAAGGCAAGTCTGGCAAGTCTTTAGGGAAAGGATTGGCCTGGTGGGTAGATCAAAACTCTGGGATGTGTCCAAAGATCAGGTTGTTTAGTTAATTGGTGACACAGTATCATTGTTTTGGAGTTCTTAAATTCTGTTCCGAAGTGAGATGCCAGAAAGGGCCTAACAACATCAACAAAACCATGCAAAAACTGCCTTTGTGAACAAGCAAACAACATCTGCCAGGTGTTTGTCATCATCGACAGCTGCATTCTGATCATTCTGCTCCACTCCCTTTGGAAACCCGACCATGAGCCACAAGATCTCAGCATGGGGACAGTAGGTCACTGCACGCTGCAGCACCTCATGAGCGGCCGGCTGGCGGTCGCGGCGTAGCGCAGCGTGATCCGGCCGAAGGTCTTCAGAAACTCCTGGGCTGATTGGATACACCCCTAGAGCTAGGTCCAGGTGGCTTTGCTGCGATGTGAGCTGCAGTTCTGGTTGTCCCTCCTAGGGTTGACTGAAAACTAAGCATCCACACTACTTCTCACATGAGCGAGCTATCCTGTGTCCTAGCTAATTAGAAGCTTCCTCTTGCTAGTAGCTTACATCCTTACTTAATTAAGTCGGCGCCTACCTAATTGACTCAGGGCGTGCTTAAAACAAAAAGGCCGACCCGTCCAATCGCGGCGACCCGGGAGGCCGCACGTTGTCCAAGGATTCCGCGTTGCCATACTTCGTCTCCAGCTCCGCCAGGCGCAGCCAAAGGCCCTGAGAGTGGTCCAGAGTCGAAGAGGGTGACGTACGGAATCAGTGTCTTCATGTCTGGGTCTGAGAATAGATGAGACTAGGAGCTTCCAAAAGGTAGTCTTAACTGACGGAAGAAAACACATTTAGTCAGTTGTAGTGCCTGCACTTCCCCCTCCGGTCAAGCATCCAAACACTCTGTTTTTAGAACCCAAACCATGACCCAAACACTCTGTAAAGCGACCTTCTTGCCCTTCAAGTGCATCACCGCATTGTTGTAGATCGCTCGGGCCACCTGATGCAGCAGGCGTTTTCACTGCCCAACGAGTGCCTGGGACAGTGATCAACAACATCGAGTGAGCATCGGTGTCTAGGATGGCGACACAAAAGACTCGAAACCATCCATCCAACAGTCAAGAATACACCAACCCCAGTAGAATGACCATCGAAACACAACCTTTTATACAAAGTCAATACCGTTCAAATCCTAGGGGTGACTACTCACTAAGTCAAGCTGATCCCAACGGTGGGGAGAGGATTTACCCAGTTCGGAAAAATATCTTCTGCAAAACCAGGTCAGCCAGCTGTGATCCTCGCCTCGATGGAGTTTCTGTTGATGGCAGCGTCTGCATCCTGCACGGCATAGTAGTCGGGACCAACGGCTGGTTCCATGTAGTCGGGACAAGAAGCAAAGAAAACAAACACCAGATAACACGCTTAGTTTGATCATTCGCTTGTCTGAGTCTTCGGTTTTCGGACATAGTTGGTTTGCCTGCGACCCATTTACCTTGAGTTGATTGTATGGCGGCTCAAGAGACAGGAGAGAAAGTTGAAACACCCTACTCACATACCACACACTTCACGCCCAAAGGTTCTTAATCTAATGTTGTGACTGAAATTCACTTCTCTTTCTTCAATTATATAGACACAACATGACACAAATAGACCAAACAAAAACTACGAGCAAACTAAAGTGGCTTCTCACATGGCTGTTGGACCAAGCCCATTAGTACCGCGCGTATAGAGTTACTACACATGAACAGAATGCTCGTTGGACTCTTTTTGGACTCGGTACGACTCGGTACTTGCTTTCCAGCTGGTCACCACCTCTGCGCAGTGAACCCGCCTGGATCCAGTTCTGCTTCATGCCTTTCACATCCTCGTCCACACCCACCTGGTCAAATGTGTCAGCCAAAAATCGCTTGAGACCATCTATCAGAAGATCTGTCGATCCACAGCAAGCTTACCGGTGCCTTGATGGTGACCTTGATGATGGCTTGGCACGTCTTAATGAAGCCAGTCTTCTCTGCCTCTCCGGGAGCGACAAGTGACGACCAGCACTTGGGGACCCAGCAATGACCAACTACCAGTTTCAAACGACTGAGTGGACTGGCGTGTTGGGTTCTCTGTCTCACGAGTGGGATTCATAAGGAATTGCCAAGAGGGCCCTCACCGGACACTGATGAACGTGTCGACGCGGGAGGAAGCGTGCGGCCGTGACCGGGCCCTCACCGGACTCGTCTTCACAACGGACGAGTGATGATCCAGTCGGTTGATCCAGTCGTCGCCTCCTTGGTTTGACCAAGGTCCAAAGACTCAACACCGGGAGGTTCCGAGGAGGTTCCTTGGAATGAACATGTGCAATCTGAATCCACCTGGCATCTTGAGCGGACAAGTTCCAAGCTCAAAAAGCGCTTGACGTAGAGAAAAGGTGTTTTAGCATTTCTGCTTCTGTTGGTTTGGTTAGTTTTAAAGTCAAATTACATGGGTTCTCACCATGAAGATCAGCTGTTTCTGCTGTTTCCTCTTTGCCCTGGTCCCATGGGAGTATTCTTGCTGCACCAGGTCCTATCTGTGCTCAACTACCATGGATGTCCCATCCTTCTCCCCACCGTGGATTTCTCATGGGATGAGTGAAACGAGAACGATCCCAGAACGCCAACGAACACGAAGCAACCATCCTACCTTGCAGCACTATAAAGTCTTCTTTTCCAGATGTCAGTAGCGTCTCAAACATTCTCAAACACTTCCAATGCTATCATACATCCCACCAACCCCTGCCACCACATACATCCCAAGCTCTTTCCACCGCCTCTTCAGCCTGTTTCAGCCACATGTCACGGTCGGGAGTCACGCCATTCGCTGCCAACGAGTCGATCGCGCGGGTCAAAATCAGCTCCACCTGGCGCGCGCTGTGGAGGCGTGAGAGGCTGCGGACGCGCTGTGTGCGAGTTCTGGTGGGGTTCGGGTAGCCGGGTAGTACGTGGATGTGAAGGGAAGTATGTGGCATCTTGGTAGGTTGAAGTGAATTTGGGGTAGTTCTCTCATTTGTAAGCTTTTGCTGAAGTGACTGATCTCCTGAATTGAGCTCATACGCTCATCCCCATCAAAGGTGAGCAAAGGAGTTGCAGAACAAACTGGTGCTTCTTGTGCAAAAGAGCATCGAGTTCACCATACATGACACAACAAAAACACAGATCTTGCTTTTACATGGGAAATCCTACAATACAAAGCACCCGAAGCTGAAGGTGTGCCATCTATTAATACTTAAAAACTGTAGCCTGAAGGGCTGAATCAGTCTCCATCATATGAATTCGGATTTCTACCACTTTTGAAGAACTGCTTGTGACCGATTCACCCTCACAACAAACCTCAAGACGTTTTTCTTTCGCTGCGGTGTCCATACCCCTTTCGCTTCGATGTCCATCCGTTCCTGATTGCACGATAGGTGAGTCACCCCTGCGACGTGCGCACCATCTTCTCGTTGCCCTGAGTCTCTTCCAGCTTGGCAGCCTTGGTCCAATCCCGGTTGTGGACACAGGGGTATCCCGGACAGGACAGGTCACGTAAGTGTTTTGGGTGGTTCACATGGGTGGTTCACATGGGTGTAACAGGTCCCAAAGGTTCACAATAGTGAGAGCTGAGCCCTCCCCAGAATGTCCAACTCTTCCAACTTGAGCTGACAAGTAGCCTTTAAGCCGGCGTTAAGCTTCAGGCTGTGCAGGATCTACGAGTGAAATTAATATAAATCCATGTCCCTTCTGAAAAAGATACACTGTCAAACTTGGAACCACATGTTCCAGCTTCACAACATGTACATTTGTGAAGGCACAGTACTATTGATTAGCTGAACTACCAAGAACGAACACATCGGTATTTTTCGTTGCTGCACCTCTGTCGTGAAGCTCCCATTGGTGCTTTGACCACTTTCATGGACCACCACCAACCCTTCACGGGACCTGCTTTCGCTGGGCTGTCCGACGGTCACCCAAATCACAGGGCTGGTCCTCGGCGATCCGAGGTGGACCGGGCGGGGAAGCACCGCACCAGTGGGTCCGAAGGGAGCAGGACCACAAGCCCAACATAGGAGGCAGCCGCCCAAATTTATGTGGTATTCCAATAAGGAGTTCAAAAACCAAAGCTACTGCTGATTTGACCTAGGTTTGTCTCTGAACACCCCACTGGGAGACCTCCTGATCGATGTCAACTAACCAGTGTGCCAGTGTGCCAATGCTGGCTCCAACGTGTCAAAGCTCTCCGCATTCCTACAAGTCATCGTGTAACTGATGTTTCTGGACCCTTTGGCAGTGACACTGAAGTTGATTATCATATTCTCTTTAGATGACACAACCATGTTCCATTACTGGACCTTTGTGTGCTTGGCTGCCTAATAACCTTTCTCAGATTTTACAGGTGGACCAATGGACTTATGCACAAATTCAGTTGAGACGATTTGCGCAAGAACTCTCATGAGTTGACTTTAACTTATTCTTCTCCTCAACATGCGAACATATCCTGATCCACGAAACAGGTACTGACCGAGTGATGGTGGTGTAATGTGGCGTGTGTGAATGGGATGACCATTGTCATTAAACATATCAAAACGGAATAGCAAGTAAGCAATCACACAATGCATCTTGCCATCTTTAGCTTGATAAACCCAACCGCACCAACCTATTAGCAACTCATTCCATCTATCCATAATAATATGTCTTCAATGTGTCGATGATACACTATCTTGTTTGGATATATCTGGATCATTAAATTCACATCTCAGTGTAATTTCAGAACATTTCCATGAGCACATTTCCACAACTTCCACGTCGGATCCGTGACCAGTGTGGTCGCATGTGGTCGCTCCAACCGAGGCACGGGATGTGCTTGCGCGCTTCGTTGAGGACCTTCTGGGCGTCCTGCAGGGCGGCAAAGGTGTGGCGGGTAGAAGACCCACGGACGCGGTATGGCCATGTGTGGAGTGTTCATATCGTATAAATGGATAACACTAGGGTCTAGAGGACTCGGTTCATTTCGGTTTCTCAATGAATCGTTCAATACACGTAGAGCCATTTTGGATCTGACCGACCACAAGAAAATGGAGCCCAAAGGAAAACATGTTCTTGGAGCAGTTAGGGATTTTCTCTAGGGATGACTGTTGGTGTGGTTGAAAATATATACTTACATGTCCCACTGATCCAACGATCATAACCTCGTTCTTGGAGGTCGACTTGAAGGTCAAATCGTCATCTGCAGTGGTACTGTCGGATCTTCTCTCTAACATTTAAAGTGCACACGAGAAACTCAACGAAATATCAGGCACCAAGACCATTGCCCACGCTGTCTGATTCCCTACACTTCCTGATTTACCCAGTCCAGTCGTTCCAAAGCTCAGACCATGAATTTGGGATCAGTTAAGTTGGGTACGATTGAGTACTACTCCAAAATAGAGAACAGGCTTGCGGCTTGACAAATCAACATCCCAAGTTGATTCACTCTGCCCACCTGTTAGGGCATGTTTGGCATGCTGATTCAGGGGGGCTCAACTCGACGTTTGGGACTCAGGTCGACCACCGGTGAACCACCTTGCTCTCCGTGGCCACTTCACACACCTGGGCTGGTCTCCTTGTAGGCTGACAGCTTCGCCAGCGCCAGCCACATTTCCACCTGAACTGGAAAAAAACACTCCGAGAAGGCACGGCACTGTGGGATGAAACCATTTGGAACCGAGCCACCCAGGGTTCGGAGCCACCGAGCCACACCGAGGTGTCAGAATGAATCCATGTTGCGTGGTGAAGGCACGGAAAATCACGGCAATTCCCGCAGCTTGTCTCACTGCTTGCGGATATGAGGGATATGAGGGAACTGGCACATTTACACACAAATGCCGGCTAAGAAACCAAGTTGGAATGTGAAAGTATAATGTATCTCTGCCCCACATTAGGTCACAAATAAATCCAAAGACTTCAGGGTGTGCATGGGAATATATGGGAATGTTGGAACTTGCCAAGATATTCCATTACCCAATTAGATCTGCTGATATTCCTTGGGTCGAAGTCTTTTTCGGTGGAAAAACACTTGACATTTTTGTACATGATTCCGAACATTCCACATGAATTGCCCGGAGTCTCTTTTCACCGGGCGTCCCGGCCGAGTGCGGCACACATTCCACGGCGCGGCTCAACATCACGCGTGCTTCGGTCTCGTCCTAGCAAACGAAGGTGGAATGACTGGTATCTCTACTCCAAATCATCCATGTAACTAGGATCCCTGACCATGCATTTCTGGAATCCGCCGGCCTGCCGGCGTGTTTTGTGGATTGTTTTGGTTAGTATTGCTTGTGTTGGTTTCAATCTACGGTTTGTATCTCCGCGCGGATTTTTCGACAGCCTGACGCCCCCCCCCGCCCTCTCTACGTCTAAGGTGATTGGACTGAGACATGTCGATCGCTGGATCAGAATAGACAACCATTGGACTGAGACATGTCGATCACTGGATCAGAATAGACAACCTCTGATTCGGATTCGTTCCATTTCATTGTAAAACGACTTCGCTTGAAATCAACATCAACAAACTCTCCGAGCAAAATGTGCAACTCCAATGCACCCACAAGTCTGATTGAGCAGGGTATTGTTGTTCGATGTCATTCGGGGTCTTTCATTTCAAACGGTTTGGAGAAAAAACGACAAATCATGCCAGATCTAGAAATTCTTCGGTCGCTTTGAAGCCTTTTGTGTGTGAAAAAGAATATCTGGTGCGTGTCGCAATCCCTCGAGACGGTCGGAAAAAAGATCTGAAAAGGAAAACATGCAAACGGCCAAGTAGTTTGGAAGAAGAATCGTTTTCAAGGTCATGTTTTGTGGATAGTCTTGGTTCGCATTGCTCGTATTGGTTTCAATTGGTTCCTCTTAGGTGATTCGACTGAGACATGCCGGTTCGGATCGCTGGATCAGAATAGACAACCTCTGATTCGGATTCGTTCCGTTTCCATGGTCAAACAACCTTGAACTAAACATCAACAACCTCACCCAGCCAAATGTGCAACTCTCCAATGCACCAACAAGTATGATTGAGCAGGGTATTGTTGTTCGATGTCGTTCTGGGTCTTTCATTTCAAACGGTTTGGAGAAAAAACGACAAATCATGCCAGATCAAGAAATTCTTCGGTCGCTTTGAAGCCTTCTGTATGTGAAAAAGAATATCTTGTGCGACTCGCAACTCCTCAAGACGGTCGAAAAAAAAGATCTGACAAGGAAAACATGCAAAAGGCCAAGTAGTTTGGAAGAAGACTCATTTTCAAGTACCGGCTTTGTGGATTGTCTTGCTTCGTCTGGCTTGTGTTGGTTTCCATTGGTTTCAATCTACGGTTGGTTTTCAATCTACGGTTTGTTTCTCCGCGCGGATGTTTCGACAGCCTGCCCTGCCCCGGTTGGTTTCAATCTACGGTTTGTTTCTCCGCGCGGATGTTTCGACGGCCTGCCCTGCCCCCCTCCCTCCTGTCCCCCCCCCTCTTAGGTGGAGAATCAGAATCTGCTTCGAACTTTGTTTCCTTTGTCAGATTGCACTGAGACCTGTCAACGAAAATAGAACTGTGGAACACTGTTAATAAGCATCATTAGGCTGCCTGCCAATGCGGGCTCGAGCTGGTGGCCGGCGGCATGCCGAAGGCTGTAAATAGCTGCCTACATTTGAGGTAGATTATGTAACGATTCCATATATATATATGCATGTATATTATACATATACGTAATTCATGGTCTGGGGATAAACACGAGGCCTGCCTCAGGGAGGCTTTGTTGTAAGTCCTGATATATCATCATGAATCTATAATAGAGATTGGATAGTATTGGTGTGTTTTGGGTGTGGGAAGCTGATGTAAGAGCATAGCTTTACAGGGACACAAGTTGGGGCAGGCTCGTCACATGTCACATGCAAGGGTTTTGGCTTGTAAGATATTCGTAGACACAGGGAGAAGCAAGGATTTGCATGGCCTGCCTTGAGAGCCATGTGCCTCTTCGAGAGTGTTTATCTCTTCTTCACACCTCTCAGAGCCTGCTGTATGATTCATTCAATGCACCTTCATATCAAAGGTTGGAGGCCTGATCTAATTAGTGCAAAACATGATAAAATAGGTGGAACTTCTCCAACCCCCCCTAAAAAGCACAGCTCCTGCAAACCAGGGTCAAACCGCTATTTCACCAACCTTTCCTTTCAACTAACTCCAATACTCGGCATCTCTCCGCATTAACACACCCCGACAGCACGTGCCAAACCGTTCTCGGTCTCGGTTTCTTGTCGTTTCTTCTCGTTTGCTCGCTCCTCCAAACTCACTGCCTCCTTCCAAAGACGCACGGAGTTGGGGATGAACTCCAAGGCCTCAACGTCTCGCACACCCGCGTGGCACACGTGGCATCAGGTGGCACGTGTGGCACGGGCAGGCCGAACCCCTTTTGGTGCTCACGTTTTCATGCAGCTGTGATCAGTGGGTGAGGAGGAGATGATGCGAGGCTTGTGTTATCAGTAACGATTGATTCTTGTGGAATTCCTCCATCTTTGTTCACCAGCAAATTTGGGGCAGGCTACAGGCAACGGGGCAACCACATCCTCAACCCCGACCCGACCCACACACCTTGCGAAGCACACGGCCTTTGGCTTGAAGGTCCTGGCAGGAATTGGCATGGATTACTGGGTGACCGAGCCAGACTGCTTCTTGCTGAACGGATCTGAACGGCATCTGAACTGTGTTGTTTATGGAGTAGCACGTGTTGAGTCTCGACCAACTCTCAGGTGTGCACAGGTTTTGCACCGCTTCCAAGGATTCGTGTCAGCTATGATATATTAAAACGGATCCCAGCTACGAACCGTGTCAGCTTGATAGAGTAATGTGGTGTCATGTGCAGCAACTCGAAGCTTTCCTAGCAACTCGAATTCTGGCGCTGACGGACATATTTGCTTTTAAACCTGCCTTGGATTTGTTGAAACCGGAAATCTTTGCTGTCAGGCTGTCCACGTTCCTTCAGTTTTGGGGAGTCTTCCCATTCTTGTTACTAGTAATGGCCTCCAACCTAATAGGGATGGCCTCAAACCTACTAGCTTCTTGCTACTATATAGTCTCAAAACTGAAACTCTTTCCATTTCCGCAAGATCCCATTCTTGTGCCACAGAAATTCACCCGTCATAGCCCACACCTCGAAACCTCGCTCTTCCTCTCCCAGCTCGCCGGTCGTCTTCCGCCGTCCATCGTCTTCCCCTCGGATTCCCCAGAGTGGGTCGTTTGCACCGCGCCGTCTCACGGTTGGCGGCGTCGATCCACAAACGCACGCTGTGGGGCAGGGACTTCACCGCCTCATGAGTGACGAAGTGGATGTCGACGAAGCCAAGGAAGCCCAAGGCGGGATGGGGCTGTCGGGTGTGGGTCAAAGCTCCATACGACACATGATGAAACATGATGTAGACCTCTGGGCGTGTTTTTTTTGGAAGCATACCCCAATGGGCGTGTGAGAGAGAGAGAGAGAGAGACCCCTTAGCCAAAACCAGAAGAGCAAACGTTGGGTTGAGGGTTCTTCACCAGACTTTTGGTGTATATTCCGACAAAAAAAAACATCCGGGTTTCCAAATGGCCTTCACCCACGCACCAAAGAGGTTGACACATCAATCACACAGTTCCTTCAAATCCTTCCCGCTTCCTCCCTCCCTCGCCTTGGCGAGCACCGCCTTGGCGTTGGCTGGCTTCTCCAAGCGGGCGGCCTCAAGCCACACGTCCTGGTCCATCCGAACAAAACGGCCGCCCTGGCGTGGTTGATGGAAACCGGCGACCACTTGTTGAAATGTGGAATTGATGATGGTGCAGTGGTGCACTTGACATGGTTTAATTAGTTAAGGTTCTTGTTGATGGTTTAAAGAACACCAGCTGACTGTAGCGGGCTAAAGGGTTGCACATGGTTTGTAATACCACTGAAGACCGGCTTCCAGCTGCTGTTGGGAAACAGTCCAGCGCCATTGTGGATGTTTCGTGCATTGGATTTAGGTGGAGCAGGATGTTGCCCATCGATGTTGGCAGTGTCAACTGCCATTGGGAAACCACACACAATGGGAATAAGGGCAGGAACTGCTGGCATGACGAACAATCCGAGGACAAACACTCCTGAAGCAATGCCGCGTGCAAACACCTTTCCAGGCTTTTGACATGAAGCGGGTTCTCGGGCAGAAAAATACATCTTCTATGTAGACTCCTCCAAAAACTGTTGCGTTTCTCCTAATCACTCTTTAGACCGTCTACAGTAAGGATTCCATCCGAAGACCAACGGATTGAAACTCCCATGCAGGATGATTTCGGGTGTATTCCTCTTAATGCATCAACCACTCCATTTTTTTTTGAATCCGAACTTCCAAGTCCCCATTGACCGTCCTCATTGTTGGGGCAATGCTTGCACCCCTGAGCAATGAGCTGTCGAGCAGATTGCACCTGTCAAGCCAAGTGGGCCAAGTGGTTGAAATCAGCTGGGTCTTCTCTCATAGAGGAAAACAAACATGACTTGTATATATAGATTATATAGCTACTAGGGGCTCCTGGTCGTACTACTAGGAGCAAGAATGCTACTAGGAACAACTGGCATCCCTACTAGGAACAAGAAGCTACTTATAGCCTATATTAGTGGATCTCTTGATCTCTGGGTCGAACGATTGTCTGAGCCGCATCCCGGCAATCGGATCTTCCTGACACAAACACCTGCCTTACCGGCCACCTCTTCCAAACGAGCCGCGGCGATCCAACCTTGGAAACAGTCAGAAGGATTCATTGGACAACATTGCTCAGTTGCCATCCGCTGAAATCCCGGCGGGAGCGCCCCGGATAGGTGTGTTTTCCTTTGGAAGAATCATCTGAAACAGAAAATCCTTCCTTTTTCGAACAGCCGGGTGCAAAGGTGTGATCGACTGAGGTGTTCGTGGAAAAAACATGGCTCTATACTTAACTGGGCTCTTCCAGGGTGGAGATTTTGGGAGATGAACCATGATGAACCTGTTTTGGAAACACCCGAAGACGTTCCAAATGGGTCACCGCATACCCCAATCTCTCCAAATTGGATGCACCATTGGCCCGGTTCCACCCACTACGGAAGCAGTTCTTTGAACATGATGAACACACAACACTTTACAAGTCTTGGGTCTAAAGAAATCGTGGTTCTTTTTCTCAAAAGCTTTCTGCTTCACAAGTATTGGCAGCTTCTCGCCCTTCTTCTTGATCAATGCCTACGCGGTAACCCACCACCTGTCCGAGAGCAGCCACGAGAGAAACACCTTGAGACCTCTGCAGCACTTCAAAAGGTCATTTGGGATGAGGCGGGGAATTGGCCAAACATGGCCAAACAAACAACAGGGAATGTGAAAGCCAGCTACCACAACCTGGGCTACTCCAGTTCAATGTTAGAGCTGGTTCAAACCCATGCTGCGCACACTCCCTGCCTTTCTTCTGTGCCGAAACGTGGGCCGCGCGACTGTACCGCAGGTTACACAGGGGAGGCATGGTGGCATGTTGGCCAGGCAAACTTAATTGCCAAAGCCCAACACAGCAGGAATGTGAGCATGACCAAGTCATCTCGCACTTGCCACAGCTTCAAGGCAAGGCTACGTTCCTTCGCCTTTTTTTGGCCTTTGGCCACTTGGCACTCTGTGGTTGAGTATCCACGTATCTCTCCGCCCATCTATTCTATAGCTCGTCACCCAAGGTGACTCATCCCTATCTTGGCAATCTAAGACCCTTTCAGTTTCTCTCTAAGATCTTTTTCCGTGTCATTAGGAAGGTGTTCCCAATTCCCAGAAAGGACTTTGCTGGTGAACCATCACTGGAGTCAGTGGTATTGCCATCATAACATGTCGCATCACGTCACACTCCTGACCAGTCCGAAAACCCAACCGAGCTGGACAGCATGACAAGGGCTGGACCTTTCGGAAGTCCTGATGGGCTGGGTTCCCCATGGGCCGTGATCCGTCATACTGAGACACCGCAGACCTCAAGTGGAAGAACTTGCCCCTGGTCCCAAAATGCATTGGACGGTTTCTACTTAGCAAACATGATTTGAATAACACCAGAAACGCTTGAGACACTAAATTGCAGGCAGCGGATGGGACTGTGAGCATACCCTAATTATGGTGAGGTGTATGCCTATAGGGGTCACATCTGAGGATTAACCAATCATGCTTCATATATGCTTCGTATATATTGCAGTTCCACACACCCAGCAAGTTAGCCATCTACATGCATCTAACTTAATCCAACACTTCTTACGAATCCGCCGCTCACCAGTTCCTAACACCAGCAACTTTAAAAGAACACTGAAGAAGATCAGAACCCAGGCTTGAGGGAGTGCCAACTAAGCACTGGGACTGTGGCTCCATGCAAGTCCTTGAGGCACTGTTTTGGTATGTCTTGGCTGTGCTGACTCAGCACAGTTGGGTCCCTTGTCTTTTGCACCCGGTGTCAGCTCTCTTCCAAAGCATTCAGCCCAAATTTGTCGTTTTCGTCCCCCCTCAAGGACCTTCGCTGTCGAGCTGGCTATGTACAGAAATGGAGGCTGCCGGCTGCGTATGAGCCCGTTGGGTTTGACATTCCGTTCCCAAGACTATGACAAGACAATTCGCTCGCAGGGAAAAAAGGAAGGAGAGAAGCTTCAAGCTTCATATCCATATCTCCAAATCGAATCTCATCACTAGCTTGAAGCTTGCGCAGGGAGGGGCTGCTGACAGCAAACCTCCCCATGTTCCTATAATCTCCCACGCATCTTACAGGGTTAGGAGGGCAATCTACGTTTCGACACGATGTTGGACATTCCCCCCCAAAAGAAAACACAAGGTCCCGGTGGCAAGTTTCATCAAGTTTCTAAAGTTTCTAGCTGGTTCGGTGAGTCATTGTATGGCTAGTGGGCTCAAGCTTGAGCCCAACTACCTTATCTGGCACAAAACAATCCCCTGCTTTGGCGTCACCATCCTCAATCGCCTCAATCTAAGAAGAAGAAGACATGCATTCCTAGAAAAGAGTTTTGCTGGACAAACGAACCGTATCCTCCATCCGTTCTGTTTGGACAAAACGGCACTTTTGGCGTCCTACAGCCTCCATGTTGGCAGGAGTCGAAGAGTCCCTAAAGGGTCGCGCTTCATGTCGATGCCGACGTGAAGTCCTCGGTCGACACGAAACAATGACATGAGTCTAAAGTTGTGGGATGTTCACCTTTAAATTGTTGCTCGATCAAGTCGTGTTGAACTACTAAAACTGCAATGTTTTCACAGGTAAGTGCAAATATGTCGCAAATATGTGCAATCCAAACCTCGACCTCTCAATGATCAGTCACCATCGGGACCTCTGATCAAATTATCCCACATTGATGAACAGTTACATACAATTAAAAACTTTTTGCAAGTCAAACCGTTGAAGCGGCTCTGCTGTGCTCAAACAAATTCGCGCAGCACACGAGAAAGAAAACACAAAGAACACCTCGACAGCGACGGAAGCCCCAGACACCGAAACACGCCATGGGCTCGTCACGTTCAGCTGCTTGAAACTGCGATCGCAGAGCAGGAGCTCCTCAGGCTGAGCGAAACCCGAGCCGTCCATGCTGTGCTCTGGGAGACAAGGTGGTGGGAAAATGCTGGATCGGGGAGGACAATACATCTTGATGCATATAAAAAGAATGTAAACATTTGTGTTTATGTGTGTTGTGTTTCACCCAGTTGCCTTGTTCCTTCGGTATCTTGACCTTCACGATGAAGACACCGAAGGGACCACGCGCGGCACGACCGAGCCGAGCGTGGTGGATCCCCACGGCCCCAACGGCGGTCCTCGGCTTCGAAGTCCGTCAACACGCTCTTGGCCTGCAGGACCCAAGCCTCGGATACTGGATGAGACCGGAGATGGTGTGTGTGTGTGTTTCTTGTTTTGAGGTCATCTTAAACACAATCATGGGAGGGTGTGAATGCTGTACAAAAAAAAACCTAATCACTTTAAATGAATCTGTGGTTTCTTATAAAATGCTTAAGGTATAGCTTCCTCACCTAGTGGACACCTCGAACTAGCGAATGGAGGTGCTGGTGCAGTCAAACCCAACCCCAGCTCCCCTGGCCTCAAGGAAAGCTTCGCTAGGAAGCCGCTGCAGCCTTGATTGCAAGGCTGGGAATGGCGATGGCTGAAGCGCTTCAGCTCTGATTCTCGGGGGCTTGTTTAGAGAGCAATTGACGAATGAGGAAACAAAGGTTGAAACCATTTTGGAGTATATTGTGATCATCCCTGCACCATATTCTGCACTTCGGGAGTCTTGGCACATACTGTAGATCCACTTAGATCATGGGAGTGGTTCGTGACGTCGGATCCCACAACGAAGAAGCGCGGCAAAACAAAAACAAAAGACGAGGACCTTGTCTTCAGTCCATCGGTGGGGAACCGCTGGGCTCCATCGGATTGGTCGAACATCCAAACGGATGTCCCGGTGACACCGCGTGACCTGCGATGTCCATCCACGCACGACCGCTGTCAAGCGTGACCTCCCGCTGTCAAGCTGTCGAGCACGTCCCGTCGTGGTGTCACGGTGGGGCATCGGTCGAGCACATTTTGATCTCTGCATGGCAGCATTGGTTCGAATCGCAGCCTTGTCATGTCGAGCAGTTTGCATTGAGAAAAGCTCTCCATGCTGAAAGCCTTTGATCGGAAAGAGGCTTGGGTCCTTGAAAGAAGTGGACATACGTGGCATATGTGGACATCAAACTTGCGGCCACTCACTTGTACAGCTCTGGACCTTCAGGTATCCTTGTGCTGCTCTTCATCCAGGGATGACTTGCCAGATTTCTCCCTCCATGACCTCCATGCATTTGCCTCCTGGAGTCGCAACAGCAAGCGATTTCGTGACGTTTGATGCTTCTTTTGAGCATGCAAATGCGCACTTGGCTGTGAAAAAAAACAGTTGAAGCAAGTCGCTTGGGAGCCGCTTCACCGATGGG